GTTTGTGTATGAGCGTGTGTGCGCATGCGTGTGTGTGTGTGTGTGTGTGTTTTGTGTGTTATGCGTGTGTGTATATCTGTGTGTATATGTGTGTGTGTTTGTATGTGTTTGTGTTTGTGTGTGTCTGTTTGTGTTGTGTGTGTGTGTGTGTGTTTGTATGTGTGTCTGTTTTTGTTTGTGTGTGTGTGTGTTTGTATGTGTGTCTGTTTGTGTTTGTGTGTGTGTGTGTTTGTGTGTGTGTTTGTGTGTGTGTCTGTTTGTGTTTGTGTGTGTGTATATGTGTGATGATCAAGAGGCGGACATATCTACTTTGTACAAATACAATCTGTGACAGCGTACTCTTAAGTGTTTTTAAGTTCTTCTTCAAAATGAATGACATCTGAATGACAGTCCATCAACTTACTTCCTTATCTATATACTCCAAAAGTGTTTTCAGACGAGCAAAAAAAACAAAAACAAAAACAACAACAAAAAAAGAAAGAAATAAAGAAAGAAAAAACTGTAGATATGCAACAATATAAGAAGACAAAGGTGTTTCTCTGAGACGAATATTTCCTACTTCATCATCATCATCAATATCATCAATCATCGGTTCTGCAGTATATTATACACACCTGCTCAATATTATTTCCTCGAACTGTTTACCTGCGCACCAACAGGTACTAACTTTTCCACTTTTAACCCTTTAATCTCAGTCTGTTTCCTTTCCGTTATCACTGTTACATTTTTCTACATTTATTTACAGATATAGTATCTTTTCTGCTGCTTTAGAACCTATTCAAGGCCAGTTCTTCACCTTTCCTCTACCTATTTATCACTCATTAACCTATCTATGCCTATCCACACATCCTTACTAGTTACTTTACAAATAATTCTATCATATTATTGATAATACTACTGTTATCATTCTCAGTATCATTTTATCATTATCATCAGCTTACTATTATATGTATTATCATTATCATTGTTATCAATACAGTGATTTTGGTTAATGAGGATGCTTAAGAAAAATAATGTATACAATGATATATACGAAGAGGGTGACCATTCATATAGTGGAAGTTGGAAATAAATTAAATAATTAATGAGAATGAGAAGGAAGAGAGAGAGGGAGCGAGGGAAGATGAGAGAAAGAGAGAGAGAGAGAGAGAGAGAGAGAGAGAGAGAGAGAGAGAGAGAGAGAGAGAGAGAGAGAGAGAGAGAGAGAGAGAGAGAGAGAGAGAGAGAGAGAGAGAGGAGGGGAGGAGAAGGAGGGAGAGGGAGAGAGGAGAGAGAGAGAGAGAGAGAGAGAGAGAGAAAGAGAGAAGAGAGAGAGAGAGAGAGAGAGAGAGAGAGAGGAGAGAGAGAGAGAGAGAGAGAGAGAGAGAGAGAGAGAGAGAGAGAGAGAGAGAGAGAGAGAGAGAGAGAGAGAGAGAGAAGAGAGAGAGACAGCAGACAGATTGACAGAGGAGAAAAAAAAGTTAATGGACAATACATGTCTCCTTCATGTTATCAAAGGCGTATATATCTACCCATAAACACAATCAATCAATCAATATTCTTTCTTATTTTTTTTTCAAGATTATATATATATAAAAAAAAATCGAAGGAACGAACGGGTTTACAAGTTTATACAAAGTTTCTTTTTCTTCTTCTTCTTCTGAACTTGAATCATAAAGACGTACGAAGAAGACATTGTTCAGAAGTTCACGCGACCATAACTCTAGATTTGAGTTCTCGTTTTTTTTTTTCTCTCTGTCTGAACATTAAACGATGACTTACTGTAATTTAGGCGAAGGAGTGAAGAACTTTCAGGATTAGAGATCTGTGATTAGTGAAGGAGCGTGAGAAATGAGTTTATGAGAGATAAATAAGAATAAGAGAGATGTGAGGAGATATATCAGGACGGAGAAGTTGAAAGGTAGGAGGCAGAGAGGACGAGAGGAGAGAAAGGGGACAGGAAGATTGGAAAGAGAATGGGGGGGGGAGGGAGAAAGAGAGGGATAGAAGACAGAAGAGAGAGAGAGGGGGGGAGGAGGGGAGAGAGAAGAGAGAGAGAGCGAGAGAGAGAGAGA